TTTTTTTTTCAGTTTGATTTTCTCTACCTTGCTTTGTTCTTTTGCATCTTTCGGCCGTAGTAGAGGCTCCATGGGTTTCAATTATTTGTTACATCATAATGCATTTATAGTTGAATATGTTATGTTTATTCTGAATTTTGAAGCTTCATTCAATCAATTTCCTAACACGACCACCCTTTCATCAAATCCCTTTGCCAGCGTAGCATGAAGGAGGACATGGCGAACATAATTGCACCTCTGCTGATGAGGCCAATCACGCGGTGGCCTTTCTTCTCTTTTCTCGGTGGGGCCATGTTCTGCCTGCTGGCGAGCAGCACGTGCCACCTTCTCTCGTGCCACTCGGAACGCCTATCCTACATCATGCTGAGGCTCGACTATGCAGGCATAGCTGCCCTCATCTCCACCTCCTTCTACCCGCCCGTCTACTACTCATTCATGTGCTACCCCTTCTTCTGCAACCTCTACCTGGGCTTCATCACCCTCCTAGGGATCGGGACCATCCTTGCATCTCTCCTCCCGGTTTTTCAGAGCCCGGAGTACCGGAACTTCCGGGCCGGGCTTTTCTTCAGTATGGGGGTCTCAGGGGCTCTTCCCATCTTGCACAAGCTCGTGCTGTTCTGGAACCAGCCAGAGGCTCTCCACACAACTGGGTATGAGGTGCTAATGGGGGTTTTGTATGGAGTTGGGGCACTGGTTTACGCCATGAGGGTTCCTGAGAAGTGGATGCCCGGGAAGTTTGATATTGCGGGGCATAGCCATCAGCTGTTTCATGTGCTGGTGGTGGCAGGGGCTTACACGCATTACCGTGCCGGGCTGGTTTATCTGAGGTGGAGGGATCTGCAGGGCTGCTGAGGTGGCCTGTTTGCTGGGGTGGGTTTTTAGGCTTAGGTTTGAGGCGGTAAAATGATTGCTGCTGTCTTCTTCTTTTTTTTTTTTTTTACACACTTGTAGTGAATGGGAGGAAATGGTAGGAGTTGAAAATAAACTGAGAATAATGGTGGACGTCTTGTGTTTTCTCAGCGTTGTAAACAAATCAAACATTTTTTATTCGATTCGTGATTCGAATACGAAATATTTGAATTCGAATTCGAATTCGAATGATGTTTTAGATTCGAAATTATAACGAATTCGAATCCGAATGTGTAGATATTCGATTCGAAATTCGAATATTCGATTCGTTAACAATAATTATATAAATTTTACAAATTATATATAATATATATTTTGTTTATAATATATGTATATATATATATATATATTGTTATATTCTTAATATTTTTATGACATAAAAAGTAAAAACATCATAAATTAACAAATTTTTCTACAAATATATGAGAAATAAAATTTATTTTTGTAATTATAATATTTTTTAATTATAATATTTTTATACAAATTATATATAATATACATTTTGTTTATAATATATGTATATAACTATATATATATATATTGTTATATTCCTAATATTTTTATGACATAAAAATAAAAACATTATAAATTAACAAAATTTTCTAAAAATATATGAAAAATAAAATTTATTTTTGTATTTATAATATTTTTTAATTATAAAAACGAATTTCGAATCGAATATGTTCGAATATTCTAACCGAATTGAATACGAATCAAAAAATGAATTGTTATCGAATCGAATCACGAATCGAATTTTCGAATATTTTAAACGAATCGAATCGAATCTCAGAGTATTCGCTTTGATTCGGTTCGTTTACAACCCTAGTTTTCTCTGATATGATTATCTGTGCCGTCCGACAGAAATGTGTCAAGAATGTTGCTCTGCGGAAAATTTGTCTGTTTTTTATATCGTAATTTTGCGGGGCTCGAATCCAAAATTTAAAATATTATCAAGCCTGTAATTTTTGGCGGTGCTCTATCAAAAATTTAAAATGTTTATCATGTAAAACATTATAAAAAGGCTGTAAATCTTAATATGTGCTCTCGTTGAGAGTCGAACTCAAGACCTCCCGCTTACTAAACGGGTGCTCTAACCAACTGAGCTACGAGAGCTTTGTTGATGAAATCCCGTGGTGAAAATATGCATTATGATTACATCATCTATATATTCCTACCACGTCACGAAATTTTCAATCACAAGATTTTCAACCCAAATATATTCATAGTTTGACACCAACTTTTTGACGCTTGATTTTATGGTAATTGACAACAACAATTAGTATTATAATAATAATAATAATAATAATAATAATAATAAGAGAATTGTTGTTGTAATAGTTACTTATTAGTATTATAATATTTTTGAAATAATTATTTTATTACTAGTGTTCGATCATGTGTACATGTACAAATATAAGAGTGTTATAAGTTACATGTATTAATAAAATGTTAAAAATTATAGCCAAATAATTTTATCACATTTTGAAAATTTGATCATTAAAAAAACTAAACTGCATAAACAGTTTAGCCACACAAATTACTCTATTGATTGCATAAAAGTATAATAAAAATACAATTTTTATAACATCGAAGGATCATGACTAGTGACCAATTAATTAGCCGATAAAACATCAAAAATTTTATTATAGCAATTTTTATGCAATTTTAAGGGGTTTGTTTATATCATTAAAACAAACTAGCTTATTTTATTAAATAATCATTTAATAAGAAGCGAAAAAAAAAATATAATGCATAACCTAAAAAAAATTGCAGTATAATATTTTATACGTGTGTAGCTTCCATATACCAATTATCATTAAATAAAATAAGTTTAGTTTTAATAGTAATTATTATATGATAAAATAACTAAAAAATATACTTATTACTGAGTTAATGTAAAATGTAACAATTTATTATCATAATTAACTTTTGTTTTTTTTTAAAAAAAAAAAGCAAAACCCCAAAAAATATCATAAATTATTTACCTACAATTGAATATATAAACAACTATTATTACAATTATTAACTGAGAGGATTTATGTACCTCAACAATGTCTATCAAGTATCAATGAAGTGGTATATCGCTTTTTTTTCCCCCTTTTTTTTTCTATTAAAAACTTTTAAAAGCTACTTTAGATCAAGTGAACGAGAATAGTCTTCAAAGTTGAGAATCACTTTATTAAGCCGGTGTACACTCACTTTAACATTTATTTAAAGGGAAGAGAACATGAAAAAATAGTTATTTTTACAATATCAAGTTTAATTTGATGGTCGAGTGCAATTCAAAACTATAAATTTCACTAAAAGTATCTATGTACATTAAAAGACTATTCAATTTAAAAAATATATATTTCTTATATCCTCCCTATATATTATTTCCGAATGCGCTGAGCCTACGTGGCTGCTTCTAGTGCTTCGGAATCTTACTTGGCAAAAAATCATGCTTCGTAATTAGGTTTGGACAAATAATATTGATATATTAATAATTAATAATAATTTAGGTTTGGACATTCCATAAATATTATTTAGCTAACTTAGGTATTTTAATATCACTTGTACTAATATAACCCTTTATTTCTTTGTAATTTTACATACTGGGGCACTAAGTGACTAATATATCCCTGACTTTTGATTTGTTTCTTTCAATTAGCTATTGAATTATAAATATTTTAAAAGTCGACAACTTCTGTATTTCGTATCAGTTTTACATATATAATATATCAAATTAATAATCTTTTGATGATCTTCGATTTGACATCTATATTGTATATATGAAATGAATAAATTATTATATTTGTAATAATGAATAAATTATATTTATATTTATAATAATAAAAATAATAATATTTATAAAAATTCATTAGAAAAATAAAATTATTTCTCAATTGATATATTTTTGCTTAATGTAGTTATATGTTGTAAGTTAAAAAAATTATTATAATATAACACATGTAAGTTGCACAAATAAAAAGTGTCATACTAAATATATAATAATGTAAATTTTTATAAAAGGTATTTAAATTTTCAACTACTTTTTCTCATTAATTTTAGATTTTAAGAAAAAATTAGCACGCACCCGTGTAATACACGGGCGTTGTACTAGTACTATATTATTAATGAAAAATAAGTTAATAAAAAAGCAATGTATAATAATTTAAATTATAACACATGGTAATTATGGAAATATATAATATATCTATATATTCGAATAGATACTATGTAACTCATTATATAGGTTGAAAAAATTAAATAAATAATATAAATAAAAACATAAAAATAAAATATTTAACCATAAAAAATTTGTGTTGCATAAGGATTAAAGTTACTAAAAATTATAATTTATTTATCAAAGTTTTTAATATTTAATGCACTTAATAATTATAGCGAAAGATAAATATCATGAGTTAAACGTAGGTCAATTATCAATCAATGTGCAAATCTTGAATTGTTAAAAAAAAATATACGACTATGATAAACAACAATTTTATAAGTACATACAAGTAATTTGTATACAAATATCATATGATCTTATACATTTATAATATTTTCAAAAACTTATAAATATTAAAATTTATATATTAAATCTATATATCTATATAATGGACCAATCCTTATTGCCATAATTGACATGATTTTGGGAGGGAAAATTTTTTCGTCTATATTTGGCATTTGATTAATATTTATTTATTAACAAATCTTATGCATGAAAAACATAATTAATTTCTATACACTCAATGACTATTACTCATTAACTTCAAATTGGCTTAACCGTAGATTTATTAGATATATTTTCAATAAGATCTATATTAATTTAATAGTTATTTATTGACACGATTCATAAAATTAATATGGAAATCGATTTGATTAAATATATTATCATCTATGGTTGTAGGTATTAATTTAATTAATTATATTCACTATTCAAATGTACTTAAATGTAGTCAATTTAAATATGTTTAAATCATAATAACTTAATAAATAATTTAAAATATTAATAAAATTCTCTAAAATGTAGTCAATTGAACTATAAAAAGTACATCCCCATTGAATATATTATATGCAGTAATAATACTATTGATCATTAAATAATATACTAATAAATATAAAATTTGATGGTCGGGTGCAATTCAAAATTATAAATTTTACTAAAAGTATCTATGTACATTAAAAGCCTATTCAATTTTAAAAATATATATATTTTTCTTATATACTATTGTATTAATGAAAAATAAGTTAATATAAAAGCAATGTATAATAATTTAAATTATAACATATAGTAATTATGGAAATATATAATATATCTATATATTCGAATAGATACTATGTAACTCATTATATAGGTTGAAAAAATGAATTAAATAAATAATATAAATAAAATCATAAAAGTAAAATATTTAAATATAAAAAATTTTGTGTTGCATAAGGATTAAAGTTACTAAAAATTCAAGTTTATTTATCAAAGTTTTTAACATTTAATGCACTTAATAACTATAGCAAAAGATAAATATCATGAGTTAAAAGTAGGTCAATTATCAATCAATGTGCAAATCTTGAATTGTTAAAAAAAAATACGACTATGATAAACGACAATTTTATAAGTACATACAAGTAAATTGTATACAAATATCATATGACCTTATACATTTATAATATTTTCAAAAACTTATAAATAATAAAACTAGTACAGATCCCGTGCGATGCACGGGGTGCACAAAATTAAGGTCATTTATCAAGTCTTATAATCATATAAATGAATAAAGAAAAATGTACGGGATATATATAGTACGTGACCTGTAATATGCCAAAATGTGAACACGGGTGATGCACGGGGTGCACAATTTTAAGGTCATTTATTAGTAAAGATTCCGTGTGATGCACGAGGTGCACAATTTTCTAGTATGTGTAATACAAATACATACCGTATGCACGGGACATAAGCAATAAATGAGTTATTTCCACAGAGCTTTCCCGTTAAGTAGCTCCTGAATACGGGTGCACAATTTGTAGTACGTACTATAAAATCAGAACAAATTTCCATACAATTAGATAATAAATTAGATAAGCCTTTTTTATTTAGTAAAAATTTTACGTACTTTTTTTTTTACTTATCGGATGTTATGAAATTTTTTTTGTTAAACCGATTTGATGGGATATAATACAAATACAATTAGAGGATTGAACAAAATCAGAACATATTTCTATACAATTAGATAATAAAAAGGAATTAGATAAAAAAAAAAGAAATTAGATAAAGAATTTTGAATCTACCTTTTTTTTAGTATAGATAGACTATACGTACAAATTTTTATTTCACCGATTTTATGAGATTTGTTTTGACAAAATCAAAGACGAACACTGAAAAATGTTTCTATTAACATTTACAACGTGTATTTAATGTTTTTATTTTGGCAAATTATTCTTTTTAAGTGTGATATATAAATATTAAAAATACTTAAAATATTTTATAACATATATAAAAAGCATCTAAAATATTCTATATTATTCACAAATAATGTTTGAAGTTACCTAAATTTTTCTAAACTACCCGTAAGGAAAATATGTCTAAAAATTCTTCATTTGACCTCCGTATATGTATATATATAGAGAGAGCAAATGTGTAAAAAAATTATACAAATAATATTTAAAAGTATCTAAAATATGAGTAATTAGACAGGTGAAATTTAGATTTTTAAAAAATCTATATAGATAATGAATTTATAGTAGTAATTAGACTTTTATTTATTTACCTTTAAAGTTGTTACGATAGATGAAGGATGTGATTTTTTTTGACTCGTGGAGATGAAATTTTATAAGATGGGTTATGAAATTTTTTTAAACTCGTCCATATCTATGCGATGAGTTTTTTAAGCTGGTTATATAGATTTAAAATTGTAAAAAAAAACTTTCATAAATCATTTGATTTGGTATTTTCGGCGAGCTTCATTAATTTAAAAGTGTAAAATAAATAAATAAAAAAAGTACAATTAAAAAAGTTACGGCCAGTTGTATGGAGAATTAAACTAAATCCAATTTTGTAGGATGCATTAAAAATTGATTAGATATTATATGTAAAATAAAATAAAAAATAACTGAAATAGTTTTACGTGTTGCAATATTTCATATTTCAAAAAAATTAAATAATCTTCTTTTACGTATTACATACCAACATTTTATGAACTACATTGATATTCCTAAATTAATATTGCATACCCAATATTTTAGGAACAAATTAAATGCTAATTTGATTTGCATACCAAAAATATTAGATGCATTAATTAAATGCTTGATAAAAATAGCAAATCATTAATTATTGTTGATTATTCTACCTATTTAAATTAGTAAATAGGTTTGCTTATAATATAAGTATAGATTTATATATTAAATAGTCAAAAACTACAAAAAAAGGAATTTATAAAAAATAGAAATTAACAATGATAGTAAATAAATAAATTTCATATTATTACTAAATAAAATATTGTGAAGAATATAGTTCATGTTTTGTTAAATAATTTTATAATATTTAAATAAAAAAATATTTCTTGTCTTGCACCCCGTGCATCGCAACACTAGTGTAAGTTTAATAGTTTATATGTACATCGTCATTTTAGTCCCGATGAAAGTTGTAAATGTGATATGGTCATTATCTAGTTTATAATTTTTAAATTTTACATAAGAAACATATATATAACATATAAAATTTTATTTGTATTTATGCATATGCACATGATCGAATAATATTATATTTGATTTATAGAGTAAATCAATGTGAATCATGTGATTGCAGTTGCACACTTCGAACATATGTGCTGTTTCAGACGAATATGGCATGTGCTAGTATCCATGCTGTGAAAATACTAAAAGTAACTTTGTCGTTGAACTAACCGAAGAGTTAACGAAATTTATTTATTTTATACCTTTCTCTTTAATAATCCAAAAAAGATGATTCATAAAGTCGAATTATTTGAACCAAAATAGACACCCCTTGATTCTATTTTTTCTTTTTCTTTTTCGGGCAACGGTAAATATATTTATTTAGTACATTAAAATAATTACAGTTTATTGTACCAAAAAAAAAAAAAAATAATTACAGCTTGTCTAATTACTAATATTAATATTGAAAAATGCTACAATCCGTAGCGAGACCATCTCGTTAAAAGTTTTAAACGTTAAATACACATATAATTAGTATAAGACAAATAATTTAAACACCCAATTAAATAGTTCGACCCATATTTCTCATTAATATTATTACTGTTTAAAAACTTTTTGACGGAACTAATATGGGTTGACTCAAATGGTAAACAGCTTGATGTCGCTCAAGCAAGATCTGAGTTTTCTTGTTGGGAGACTCACCCACTACTGTCAGGTGTGCGACCTGGGTCGACCAACGAATTAGTCATAGCTCCGGATACCGTGGCTGGCGACTCATTGGACCCGGTGATGGCAAGTCTCATTTGGAGCAGTAAAAAAAGTTAGAAAAATGGACAATCACAGGACTCTCTCTCTAAACTCGCAGGCAAAAGCAAAACACGGACCATTGTATTTGTCGGTTGCTCTTCTAACCCAACGTGTCTATCTATCCCTCGGCTTCGCCGCACAGAAAAGAAAAGCCGCAATCTCCGGCCCCAATCTCCCCTACTAACTTTCTCTCTCTACCGCCATAAAACCACCCAACCAGCGGCGGTGTTAATTAATTCCGCCCCACCATATTCTCGCTCTCAATTTTTATCTTTTCCAAAGCTGTTATGTAAGCTGTTTTGGTGGTTTCCTTCAATTTTCTCCCCTATCCTTCCGAATTTCTCAGGCGGCGAAGCGGTTTCGCTACCCGACGAAATTACAGTGACGATACTTGGTGGAATTGATTTTCCGGGTCGGGTTTTTCGTTTCTTCTTCCTCTTGATTTAAGGATGGTGTCCTCGGACACATCGCCCCACTACCAGTATTCTCAAATGGCTAAACACAACGGCCGGAACAGAGCAGCGTCTTTTATCTCCGACGGGTTTCTCTTCGCCGTCGGAGCCCTCGTGGCCTTGCTGCTCATCTGGACCATGTGGTCCTTCTTCGGTTCCAACCCGAACCCGACCTCCAATTTCTCCGCATCCTCGTTCCCCGACCGGGCGTCCACCATGCCGCAGGGGCAGGAAGCCTCCACCGCCGTAGGAGACGGAGCCCCTGGCTGCTCCGGAGCGCCGAATTTGCGGGTAGACCCGCCCGTCCCGAACTTCTATGACGATCCGAAGCTGACGTACACCATCGACTCCCCGCCCGTCAAGAACTGGGACGAGAAGCGGCGGGAGTGGCTCCGACAGCACCCGTCGTTCGCCGCCGGGGCCGACAGCCGGATCTTCATGGTGACGGGGTCTCAGCCGACGCCGTGCAAGAACCCGATCGGCGACTACCTCCTCCTGAAGCTGTTCAAGAACAAGGTGGACTACTGCAGGCGCCACGGCATCGACATCTTCTACAACAACGCCCTCCTCCAGCCCAAGATGTTCTCCTTCTGGGCCAAGACCCCCGCCGTCCGGGCCGCCATGCTGGCCCACCCGGAGGCCGAGTGGATCTGGTGGGTCGACTCGGACGCCGCCTTCACGGACATGGACTTCGTCCTCCCGCTCGACCGGTACAAGTCTCACAACCTCGTCATCCACGGCTGGCCCAACTTAATCGAGAAGCGGAGCTGGACCAGCATCAATGCCGGTGTCTTTCTCATCCGCAACTGCCAGTGGGCCATGGACTTTATGGACGTCTGGGCCGGAATGGGCCCTCAGTCCCCGGATTACGACAAGTGGGGCAAGACCCTGAGCGCAACCTTCAAGGACAAGATATTCCCGGAGTCGGACGACCAGTCAGGCCTGGTGTACCTAATCCTAAACGAGAAGGAGAAGTGGGGGAACAAAATCTACGTGGAGGGAGAGTACTATTTCGAAGGGTACTGGATGGAGATTGTGGGCACGCTGGAGAACATCACAGAGAAGTACAGGGGAGTGGAGAGAGAAGACCCTCGGCTGAGGAGGCGGAGGGCGGAGAAGGTGAATGAGGCGTATGGTCGGGTGTGGGAGGAGGAGCTCAAGGCCAAGGGAGCCGGAGAAGGGGGGAGGGGGAGCTGGAAGAGACCCTTCATCACTCACTTCACTGGGTGCCAGCCGTGCAGTGGGGACCACAACCAGATGTACTCGGGACAGACGTGCTTCGAAGCAATGCAGAGGGCGCTCACCTTCGCAGACAATCAGGTGCTCCGCAGCTACGGGTTTGCCCACCCGGACCTGCTCGACCCAGCAACGGTCACTCCTCTGCCCTTTGATTATCCTGCTTGAGAAATTGTCTTTCAATATAATTAGTGAGATTATGTAGATTCTTTTTTTTTTCGCCCCCTTCTTTTTATCTAATATAGAGGTGAAGTAGTATATATTACATAAGTGTGTTGTGTCCATGGGCCTTTGATATTATGCTTAGTTTTGTGAATTGGTGGCATCTCTCTACAGTCTATACCAAGGTGATTGTTTTTCTACAAACAGAACCATGCATTAGCTATCAAGATAGTAATTGTTTGGTTAAAAAAACTTGATGAAAACTTGTTGAATATCTTGCTTGTTTGTTGATTAAGCCTCACTTTGGGAAATGGTTATAGAGATTCTGGGGAAGTTTGAGTTTGAGTTTCAGTTGAGGTTTCAGAATGTATACTATGGCCTCGTTTACTAGGATTGATGAGATTAGACAAATTAATCCCCTCAACTTTCCACCTCATCATTTGTATCATGTTTACATTGTAATGCTAATATTTACAAACTAGGATAAGATTATCTGATTTTAATTGAAATGACTAGTGTGCCCTTATCTTCTCTTCCCACTTCTCCTTGTATACACACATACAAGCAAATCGATGCCTGAAAATAAAACAGAATAAATTATAAATGTGTGAACATGAATTACTAATCAAAGCATCAATCTGCACTACTTAATTCACACCCAAATCATCAACCTCTTAACAAAATGACCCGATTTCACATAAGGAATTTTTGAAATAAACCATAACAATAAAAATCCCATTTACACCAAAAAACAAATGTAGAAAGATCAAAAACTGAGTACATAGAAGATTGATAAATTACAGGTACGAAATGTACCTGTCACAAAAGATTGATAAAGCCCAAACGATTTGAAATAAGTGGGCGAAAAAAGAAAAAAAATGAAGAACACATACTTGGGCAGCATTAGGGTTTGTCGGTCGCACGAATTGTGTGAAAATGACACAGAAATATGATTTATATGACCAATTGTGTAATTTGATGGACAACAAAGGGTATTTTAGACATTTTAAATGGTAATTTTTGGACAAAAGAGTAATTTGAAAACAAGGATAAAATTATCTGGCCAAAATGGTGGGACAAAAAAATCCAGCCACTCAGCATTTAAACGTGGGACCTGCTTGCCACATCTGCCAAATCCTATTTCCTATACCACCTAGTAAATGTATGATAAGGTTGGTTAACCAACCTTATCCAATCCTATCAAGGCTAGTAAACGAGGCCTATATGTATTCAGATGCTAGTTATTACTTGTGTGGCCGCAGTGAGCCGCTTAGTTAAGCTGCTACTAAAATATCAGTTACAAATATGTACAAATGTGAAATGCTATGAACCATTCCGTCGGGTTTGTAATCTTTAGATCAACTATATCTGACGGTTACAAATCCCGGCGGAATAGTTCCGTAACGAGACTGTAGCATTTCCATGTACAAATTGGTGATTTTTTTTTTTTTTCCTAATCTCAGTAGTTTTCAGCATCTAACATGAAGTGGTTGCCTAGCCAGCTAGCCTAACTTTTGACCCAATTTTTTCTTCATTAAGTCACTTCAGTCTAAGGGCGACTAGCAGCTAAACACAATACTGACCTGTAAAATTGGTAAATTTAATGCACTTAAATGAGACATGGAGCCAGCCACTGGATTTTATAGTCTTCATCAATTCTGTACTATGTATTGTAGTGCATGGGACATATTTATTAGCTAGGTAAGGTAAAATAAATTAACCAAGATGGGTTGGAATTTCACTACAAAGTTGTAAAATTGGAGTCTAATCTTTTTCCATGAGGTGATAAGAGGTGCTTTGGATTTCACTGGATTTATGGTGTGAATTGAGTTAGTTTTGAAAAAAAAAAAAAAGTTAATTGATTTCTGTTTGAGTGAGATTTTGAATTTGTATGTGAATAATATTTAAATCGTTTTGTTATCAAGTCAACAATTGACTCCACAGTGAGCCAACAGTTGGCTCAAACATACCACAAGTAATCATCGACTATGGTATTATTTACTTGTTGTATATAGAAGACTGGCTCCACTATAGAACCAAACCAATTGTTGGCTTCATAGTTCATGATGATTAAAGTTGATGTGACGTAAGTAGAAGAAAATTGATTGGAAGCGATGAGTAGTAGTTAAAATTTTGTAATTGAGTGAATAGTAAATTAAAGTTGATATGATTTGGTATAATAATTGATTTATAATATTTGTTGGGTTAGTTAAATTTAAATAAAAAAAAAGTTATTTGTTTGGTTTAATTGAATATTTTGTATACCAATATTGTTCTCCAACACTTCAGCTTTTCTTCTTTGCCCCAATTTTTTTCCTCCTTTGATTGAGCACGTTAAATGCTGAAATGAATCATACCCATCTTTTTGGACTTGAAAGCATATTAACATGGTTTGGTGGCATGATAGGGAAGATATTTTATCTTGTTCTTTATTTCTCTTATAACTATACGTACCCCGTACAATGCACGAGACATAAATATTAAATTAATTATTTTCAGACGACTCTATTCGTTTAAGTCTAAAAATCAATATATCATATATTTTTCACTTGTATATTTGGGCTAGCTTGTAAGTAATTAATATATTATCTATATATTTAATTCTTTTTTTTATCGGTTATACATATTTATTTTTAATTTGAAAAAAAAAGGTTTGACCAGTTGAGTATTAAATCAACACTAACTAATTTATTAAGCAAGTAAAGACACAAAGCAAGACAATTTAATTATCCAGCAATTTAGGGTGATATATAGTTATTTCCTTTATTAAACATTATTTTTAAAAATAAAACAACATCAGCCCCAAATAATAGGCAACATTCATGGTTTTGTTGAAAACCAAAATAACAAAATCCTTAATTAATGGGTAGCATTTAATGCTACTTTTTTATTAAAAAAAAAAAAAGTTACTAAGAATGAAATGTAATTAATGCAAAATGATTTTGACCAAAATTTTACCTACTATTTTTAAAAAATGGTAAATCTTTTTATATATATATAGATAGTAGACAATTTGTGCGATGTTGAATAAACTTATTAGTTATTACTTTATTTTTTTCTTTTAAATGCAGTTTTGCACTTTTTTCTAATAAAATAATATTTATTCATGACAATAAAAATATTATGAAAATATAAAATTATATATTATTGAACACAACTTCCTTATATAAACATTATATTTGAGATTTAAAAGTCTTAACAAAAACTTATACCAAATTTCACTAAAATGTCACCTCCAAACTTCATATTTTTAAGATTTTCATAGGCATCTTCAACCAAAAAATTATATTCAAACCCATTTTGCTGTAATTCATTTCCAACCGAAAAAATATTCTCAAATCCAAAAAAAATTCTCAGAATATTCTCTTTTACATCAACTTTTATACTCTTCAAATCCATATATTTTGCAACTTTACAAATTAAACAACACTATTATTTAAATTGAATTTGGACTTTATGTAATAAAATTAGTCATACATAATAAAATCAGAGAAATAAATTTCATTAAAAAACAAACATTAGAGCACACAAATAAAATTAAATATTGCAAAGCACAAAATAAAAATTAAAAATTACAACACACAAACTAAAATAAAAATTATAACAATCAAGTAAAAATAGATAGTCTTTAAAGTCTTGAAATTGGTGAATTCCTCGCACAAATGATCAATTAGTGCATTCTGAAGTGCAATATGATTATCTTTATATATATATATATATATACTTGTACCGAGATATGAATTCTTGAAATCGAGTTCTTTCATCTACTGCCATTTCGACCTCTGGAGGCAGCGTTTCCATTTCAGTTTCAATTGGTGTACTTAGGTCGCGTTCATCCTCGACAATCATATTATGCAAAATTATAGATGTGGTTATGATATCATGTAGCACTTATTTTCGCCAATAACGTACTGGTCCTGCTACAATGCTAAAACGTGATTGAAGAACTCCAAATGCACGTTCAACGTCTTTTCTGCATGCTTCTTGTTTCATTGCAAAGTATCTTTTTTTTTGGACGACGTCGCTTATGAATTGTTTGCACAATGGTAGACCATTTTGGATATATGCTATCAGCTAAATAATAATCTCTGTTGTATTCTTTTCTTTGAATTATATAATGAGCTGGTGGAGCAATACCTAGGTTAGATCCGAGAAAAGATGAGATGACTCTAGAACGTTGATATCGTTGTTGGAGCCCGAAAAAACCAAAATAAGCATGCCATATCCATAGATTATAATCTGTTACAGCTTCAAAAATGATTGTAGGTTTTCCACTACAAGTAGCATATTGGCCAGCCCACGTTGTAGGGAAATTTTTTCACCTCAAATGCATGCAATCTAAACTCCCCAACATTCATGGAAAACCACGTTGTTGGCCAATATATAGAAGCCTGTAAAAATAATCAGATGTGGGCCTCCACAGATATCGCTCGCCAAATACCTCAACTATCGTGGACAAAACTGTTTCATACTTTCAATTGCAGTAAACTCACCAATTTTGACATACTCTTCTGTAGCATCTGTTGGCGAGCCGTATGCCAACATACTAAAGAAAACAATTATTTTTTGTATTAGAGATAATCCAAGTGTGCCAGCTCGATCCGCTCGTTGTTGAAAGTAATGATTATGATCTTTGACTGCGTCGATAATTCAGAAGAACAACAAGTGAGACATTCTGTATCTTCTACGGAATATGGTCTCGTTATACAATGGATTTTCTGAGAAATAATCATTGTACAACCTACAATCAGCAGCCTCTCGAACGATTGATAAAAATATACCCAGTAACAGAACCTCCATGGGAGGCTTCTTGATTTTGTTGTAAGAAGATGTTGAATGAAGATGTTGTTATTAGCGATAACTTGAGTTATCACTGCTTGTTTTGACGAAGAGCATTTATAATTAGCATATGATCATCCTCAGAATCAGATGAAGAATATGACAAATTGGCAAAATTAAAATTCATTGTAGAATGTGTGATAGAGAAATATGATAAGATGTTTGAA